CACGAGGAGGGAAGGAACAGAAGATTTTGCCAGTAGGGTGTAATGAAGTCAATAGAGTGGGAGGTGGATCATGTGGAATTTAAATGCCAATTGGATGAACTGCTTCGGTGCTTTAAATGCTATGTAATGTTGCACCAGGGAACCATTCAAATAATTTTAAAACAATTATACATGGTGGAAAATCTCAGTGAAGCCACAGGGGTAATGAACATAGATAGGCCAAGCAGATACAAAGGAATCTTTACAGACAGGTTTTTTTTTGTTGTATTCTTGTATTATCATTTTAAGATGATTTTTCCTGAACACGTGCATCCTTGGGAACATTGCTCCTTTCCATATTTATTCACAAGGTGTGGGCATCCCTGGCTAGGCAAGCGTTTATTGCCTATTGCTAATTGCCCAGAATATGGTGGTGGTGGTGGTTGAGAGCTGCCATATTAAACCACTCCAGTCCTTGTCCTTTAGGGATAGCCACAGTACTGTTAGGGAGGGAGTGTCAGATTTTGACCCAATGACAGTGAAGGAACGCCAATTTAGATCCAAGTTAGGATGGTGTCCGGCTTGGAGAGGAACTTTTCAGTGACGGTACTCCCATGTGTCTGCTGCACTCATACTTTGACTGGTAGGGGTTGCAGGTTTGGAAAGTACTGTTGGAGGAGCCTTGGTGAGTTACTATCACTCATCCAGGTGGTTTGGATTGTGTGGATACAGTGAATAGGGAGCTGAATGGGCAGAACACATACTTGTTTGTGTTCAAATCAGTTCAGAGAAGTTTGCCTCTCTGATTTCTTGTTATTTAGCAAATGGCCTCTATTTATCTGTTGGACTACTTATCTACTCTCTCCTCTGCCCCTTTCTGTCCCCTGACCTTACTTGCCTCCAGAAACATCTTACAACTGGTGAGCCACATTGATAGTTCTTAAAATATAGCAGTGAAAACTTAGTACAGGTGTAAGGTGCAGGTATACATTTGATAACTTTGAAAATTTTGGATGCAATCACTACCTATTTTAGGCCAAGTCTGATTTTGCACTCCGCTAATGTGTAGGTTTGTAGGTAGATGCATGCAAATAAAGTTAATATGATGCACTGATGTAATGTACTCAACTTCGCATTCTATCTTGTGTATTCTTAACATTGCCCTCTCAGATATAAGCTGGGCTTCCAGATTTGTGAACTGCTGTGTTGTGTACACTATTACATTTAAGCAGCCTGCTATAGAGGTGTTTATTTTGTAAGGCTATTACTCAGTGTTTTAATTGTTGGATTGTTTTGTTTGGTTTTAAGGACCTTTTGTGGTGATTGAAATACTGTTGACATTTTCTGCAACAATTCCAACAGAACCATCTAATGTTGCTCCATGGGCATTTTTCTATTTTTACCAACTTGGAAAAGGAGAATGCCAAGCACTGTACACCCTCTGGTAGGATTTACTGGTGGGGGTTTACCTATGTTCATCCGGAGAGCATTGCATATGGAGAATGTTATCAAATATGCTTCAACCAGATGAGACAATCACTCTCTATTGGAAGATATGGAAAGGGTATTACATTCTCTATTCCTTCCACAGATAGTTAGGGTACTAACATCATTTGATTACTTCCTCTTGGCTTGCATGTGGTAATTCAAGCTGATGAAACCCCTCATGTGCCTTACTTCCTGGAGTGGGGTATCCTGCCCCATTATGAATCAGGCTGCTCTGAGGCTCCACTCCTTAAAGGCATTGCTTTAGACAAGCAACTGTGCTGCATTGCATTAAGGATAGAGTAGATGCCTACCTCTTAAAGATGCGATTATTTGTATGGTGTCTAACAGCATGAATTCCCCTTCACCTCACTTCCGCAAACTGTGTAAGCTTCCAATGAGCTATTCTTCACATGTGGAACTTGCCCGTTATGGTGAAAGTTGCTGCCTGATTTGGCAGGGTGTAGCAGCTAAGAAGTTCAAGCTTCTACCCAAGGGAAGCCCTGCATAGCCCATCTCCTGCTGGCCCTGGGTAAAGTGAAAAAGTTTTGTTAAAATCATGGATAGCACTTAACTGAACAAACCAACCTTGCAACTGCTTGTCATGTGAAAGGCAGGAAGGAGGTAACATTAAATGAACAAACAAATAGGTCAATGGGCAGGAATACCATTGAAGAATCTTACCTCCAAGGGGAGGCAGCAGGGTCACTCTAACCTCCAGACTGATTAAATAGCTCTCCCGCCTCATTCGCCATGGAGAAGACATTAACTTCCTTACTTATGAAACATATTTGACTGTTCTGGAGATGAAATTACTTTGTGCCTCACAAATCACTAAGGCCCCAGTAAAAACTAAATGGCGTTGATTGCTTGGAGGAGCACTGCTGGTGACTGACTACATTGGGAAACAAGTGTGCTGCTCATTGCAAGGACTGCTGTCTGGTCCCATATAGCAATTATTTAAATGTTGCCACCAAACTCTACACCCACCCTTGGGTCCTATTGCAGAGCTATTTCTTGTTTGTTAAGTTAAACTGAGTTCCATTTTTTATTGTATTGCAGTGTGATGAGAAAAGGAGCTGTTTGCTGTGTATTACAGGCTGGAGAAGAGTTATCCTCTGTTTGGGAAGCTATTGCTATTGTAATAAATTCCCCTGAGTGCCCAAATCTTAAACATGACCAATGTTTATCAGGAATGAGAATCCCTCTGCTGGCTCACAGCCCTCATTGCACCCTGACGCTGAAGTGAAAGCTGGTTAATTTTGGCCAGAGGGTGAAAACAATCCCAAATAAAAGTAGCCTATTTATTTAAAAGTCCAAATTTAACACATAGTTTTGTTCCTAGTTGCTGATTGCCATAATTTGATGTGGCCTGAAGTTGTTGAGTCAGAAATCTGAAGCTCACGTGCTTGCAACATTTGTCAGCATTTTCAGGTATTGGTATGTGTGGAAACGTGCATTTCCAGTGAAGGCATGGTCTGAGCACAGAGCAGCCCCGTGCAGGATGATTCAGGGCTCAAAGGATGAGGTCACACAGGTTTTCTGTGTCAGTGGAGGATTTTTTGCAGTGGGGTTTGGGGAGAGGGGGAGCATGGTGGGAATGTCCAGAGGAGGAAGACTTTTGTATCCCTACAGTAGACAAAAGTCAGCCATCTTGCTCTTCTGCTCCTTGATCCTGTAGCAGCTGGAGCTGCTCTCACTGTTATCACCAACACATTCCTTATCCAGAATTGAGCAATGTCTTAACCCTGAATAAAAACAGAAAGAACTGCGGATGCTGTAAATCAGAAACGAAAGCAGAAGTTGCTGGAAAAGCTCAGCAGGTCTGGCAGGGTCTGTGAAGAGAAATCAAAATTAACATTTTGAGTTTGGTGACCCTTCCTCAGAACTAAGGACCGAAAATGTTAACTCTGATTTCTCTTCACAGATGCTGCTAAACCTGTTGAGCTTTTCCAGCAACTTCTGTTTTTGTTACTGATTTGTAGCATCTGCAGCTCTTTCAGTTTTTATTTAGTATTAACTCACTGCCACATCTCTTCCAGGCATTCCCATCTTGAAGGAGTTCTGCTTCTCTCTCTGACGGGATTTCCGTACAAATCCTTTTTCTTGCCCACCGTCGTTCATTTCACTGTTGCTCCTGGTGTTTGACCCGATATTTGCTAAAACTTGTTTTCACAGGCACGTCACATTCCTCAGTGACTGCCTCCAGCTCAGACTCACCCCATATGGATTCCAATGCAAGTTTCATCCCTCGTGTTTTGAATCCTCCCAGGATCACAGATATCTCTGTGATGTTCAACATTCCACAGACAGCTGCTCACGCCGCATCCTGAGATCCATACTCAGTTCCATTAGTCATCACAGGCACACGCTCAATCTCATCATCCTGTTGAGTCCTGTAAGACAGAGTCTCACCTCAGTTACTCTTCTATTTGAAGTGAAGTCCTGAGGAATTTTCTGGAATAATTGTTGCTCGAGAGTTGGTGGATAGGGATGAGATCAGGATCCCTGTGTGGGAATCAAATGCAAGCCTTAACTAAGTGTTGTCTTGGCAATAGACCCTTGGGCATGATTTTTTCTGCAATTGGCAATTCAATGCCAGAGAATATATTTGCTGTTCAATTAACGATTGTGGGCAGGGTGCTGAGACACATCAACAGTTCCACTGTCCGAGGAGTAGTTTGTCTTTGAAATAGTGCCGTGAGGTCTTTTCCATCCAGCTAAGAGGACAGTTGAAGAATGTTGGTGGAAACACCAGAGGATTTTCCCTTACAGCTTCAGGTGGCCTTTTAGGATGTATAGCCATCCTGACCCTGAATCACAACATAGCCAGAAAGATCTCAGTTCAGTAGCAGGAGAGCTGAACTGTAACGGCAACAGTCTCTCAATACAACCTTAGAGTTTCATCTGAGATTTCAAACACAATTCTAGAGGAATGTCAGGCACACAAGCTTCTGGTCTTGAGGTAAATCTGAGGGCAACTGTCATCCAAACACCATGCACAGAGACCCGATTATAAAAGGGGAATATTCATACAGGATTCAGGGCCAGAGGGGATTAGTTCAGAGTAAGGCCTGGGCTGTTTTAGGCTTTTCGGCCTCATTTGCTTGACTGGACATTGGCTCCCACCTGATGTTGCCTAGAATTGCACTAGTGGTGGTGAGCAAGAGGTGAATGTTTGAGATGGAGACTGACGCCTGGGAAGAGGTAACTTAAGGTGAGGCAGGATTGAGGGAATTGGCAAAGGGAGGGTAGAGCAGCCTCTAGTGGAGCAGGGTGGTGTTGCATTAGTTAACACCATGTCTCCAAAGTGTGTTGCCCTGTTCAAGGACTGAAAAATATAAACAGCCTTTTCATGTCATGGCAGTGACAGAAAGAACCGTTCTCATGCTTTGTATAGCCTGTCAATGGAAGGTTGATGATGCCTAAGCACAATGTTTAGCACAGGGCCTTCTTCAACGGTCTTTCCCTCAGAAACGTTTCACGTATGCCTCGAGATTAAGCACACCTATGCTCATGACCTTATTTCATTTCAGCCTTGCGGGACGAGTTTAAACTGCAGCCGAGTGATGTGGTGGTGGCACTGGGAGACCAGGCAGAAATAGAATGCCTGCCACCTCGAGGCTATCCAGAGCCCACCGTCACATGGAAGAAGAATGGGGCACCTCTGAATGAAAAAGACGAGCGCTACAGAGTGAGTCCATCAATTATTTCATACCTGACCCGGTCCAGCTGTAGAGGACACTAAGGCTTTTTAATGATGTATTGGCCCAGTCTGTCGCATGGTGTGAATTGGAAGGGCATTGCGAAGTGCAAGGTTCACAAACTCAACCTTGAGAGAAACCAATTGAGGAGAGTTTGTTTCATCTAATGTGGATGCACCACACTCTCTGCAAGTGGCATCCTCACTTATCTAAACCAGGAAATTTGCAGAGTACAGACAAGACTTAACCAGTCTGTGCTTGCAATTTCCAAAACGAAATGTCTCCTGTTAGCAGTGACTCCATAACTGGGCAGCTCTTGCTGTACAGTCTTGAGTGTGCTCATAGCTACACCAATAATAACTGAAGATATTCAGTTTAGCTTTTAACATGGCTCATTCACACTTCCTAGGCATGACATACATAAATACTAAGAGAAGAAAGAAATATGTTCAAGTCTGGAGTCTCTTTTGCACGACATGGAAGCTTGGGAGCTTATAGTTCCTTGGGACTTCCTGCGAGGATAAATTTGAAGATCAGCCATGTTCATATTAAATGGGATAGTAGCCTCAATGAGGCTGAATGATCTGCTTCTGCTTTTTTGTGTCTTTCTTGTGTCATTTTAACAGCAAACACCCATTCTTCTCCAAATTGGGAAAATTTTGACTTTTGACTTTTTTAAAATTGTGTTGAATGATTTATCACATTGAACATAGAACATGGATAGACAACTGGTCTAGTCAAATAATATGATACCGTGACTCAAATCCTGGGAATCCCAGGAAATGCAACTTATACTGCTGAATAAGTTGACTGATCCACTATATTGTAACTGTAGCTGTCCATTTTCTTTTAATGAATCTTGTGCTCTACCTGTTTAAAAAGGGAATGTCATCAGGAAAGCTTTTGCCGTTTTGGACTTTGTTTCAGCTCCATGTTTTGGCCTCTTCTGCAGATCACTGTTGGCAAACTCATCATTTCCCAAACTCACTGGAGTGACTCGGGAGTGTATGTCTGTGTAGCAATGAATAAAGTGGGACGACGGGAGAGTAGGGCTGCACGTATATCCATACTAGGTAGGAGCAAACTTACAATTAATACCAGCGTGCAAAACCCCTTCACTAAATATTGAGAATATAATTGGTAGTAACAAGGATATGTGTTATTAGAATGATGTGTGATGACAAGCATGCAAGATTACTCCATTGGATATGGGATGAATGACTAGTTATTCTGTTTTGGTAATATTGATGAAATGTTGGTCAGAACTTCTGGAGAACTCCCTTCTCAGCTTTCAGCAATGTAATGGGATCCATTTGAACAATTAGACATTGCCTCAATCTATTGTGCTACCTTTGCCAATGCAGCACTGCCTCCTTACTACCTTTTGAGTGCTTCACGATATACCAGTGGGTCAAACCCATATTCTACATAATGAATGTAGATAAGATTCCAGCTTCCAACTCATCCAGTGCCTGAATCTACCACAATCCTGCTGTAGTTCAGATTTTGTATTAAAATGTGAATCATTCCCCAGTCGACCAGTTGTCATTTAGCCTGGGTCTGAGAAGCGGGGGAAGGTGCAGGTTGGATTCACTTCCTTCTGTTGGCAATCCCGTAACTCTGTTTCTATCACACTCCAGAAAAGCCAACCTTTGTCCAGAGGCCGAGTGATGTGACAGTAAGAGCTGGGGATACCGTGACGTTTTCCTGCGATGTCCGTGGTGATCCAATGCCGCGTGTATACTGGTTGAAGGAAAATGGCAACCTTCCCACAGGGAGGTGAGTGAGGATTGGTCCAAAGGGCAGTGTGTCTAGGTCATGAACTCGAACGTACTCCTCGAACTAAAGCCCATTTATTTGACTGTTGCTCCAGAACAATTTGGAAAAGAAACAAAGAATAAAGTTGTATTTGCAATCATCCATATCTTCAGCACTCTCAAATACTTTATTGCCAATAGAGTACGTTTGAAATTTCTTTCACATGGTAATGTAGGAAACAATGCAGGTAGAATTACCAAGTGTTAGGGACGCCTATATTTGAGAGACACAAGATGGCCGGCAGCTAAGCTGCCCCTCTATCCCTGGCTGACATGTGGTTAAACAGAATTAAAAGCCTGCTCCAGCATTTAAGTGAGACATAATGATACCTTTGAGGGGGGGAGCTCGTTGTTTCATGTCAAAAGGGAGCCTTGCACACACAACAGCTACAAAAAGATTTGTTACAGACAGTTTGATAAGAAACATTCAAGGAAAGATTTGCAAGATTTGTAACAAACATTGAGGGGAAAATGAACTCCTGCAAAAACAAACACAAATGAACCAGTGGGATTATGGTTCATAAAATAAAATCTAGAGGACCAAACAAGTACATTAAATTACCATAGTGATTGATTCTAGTCTCATTAATGAAAGGATGTTGTCCCATTAGGTGAACAGAGTTAGTAAGGACAAGGCGTGTTCCTCCCAGTGGGAGGACACTTCAGCTGTCAAAGGCATTCGGTCTCGGATCTTCCGGTAAACATCCTCCAAGGTTGACTTCAGGACACACAACAACGCCGAGTCACCGAGCAGAGGCTGATAGCCAAGTTCGGTCCCCATGAGGACAGCCTCAACTGTGATCTTGGGTTCATCTCACACTACAGGTGACCCCGCCACACTATACACACACACACACCCACATAAATACAAACACTCTCTTGCATAATCACACAGTGTCTCACACAAATACACACACACACACAAACCCTCTCTCTCACACGCACATTCTCTCACACATGTTCACACTCACAATCACACACACACTCTCACATACATATACTCCCTCACTCTCACACACACCCACACTCTCAAGCACACACACACACAAAAATAAATATATGGGGTGAATTTGCATTTGCAGATTTGTATTTGCGGATTCGATTTTGTTCAAAAAGCACACAGTTTGTAGATATAGTCAGTCAGTGGGGCATATTATAAATTTCTGCTTTGGAAATAAAACCAGTCTGACTCCAGGTTAAAACAGACAGATTCTAAATAAGGCCTCACACCTAAAATGCATTGTCTGACCTGAGATGTCATCTCTTGCACAGACTGATAAAATGTTTAGTTATTTTGAGGCAGTGACTTGAAAGAAATGCTGGGATTTGCATTTTAATCAATTGAAACCTGTATCTCCTTTCTAACTCATTAAATGTTTAACAGGAGGGAGTCAGCCAGCTATTTTAGGTTTATTCAATACATTCACATCAGTTGTATAAATCCTTTGATCTTTTGCATTTAAATTCTGTCTCTTGATACTTCCTCTCTCACTATACCTGAGGAAGGAGCAAAGCTTCGAAAGCTAGTGTATTCAAGTACAACAACAAAAACAGAAGTTGCTGAAAAAGCTCAGCAGCTCTGGCAGCATCTATGAAGAAAAAAGCCAGAGTTAACGTTTCGGATCCGGTGACCCTTCCTTAGAACTGACCTGAAACATTAACTCTTGATTTTTTTTTTTTCTTTGCAGATGCTGCCAGACCTGCTGAGCTTTTATAGCAATTCTGTTTTTGTTCCTGATTCACAGCATCCGCAGTTCTTTCGGTTTTTAATTCGTGTATTCAAATAAACCTGTTAGACTATAACCTGGTGTCATGTGACTTTTGACCTCAGATAATCACAGAGTTAGATTTCAATGTAATTATAAATACACATATATAACAAAATACAAAGTTCACTAAAAACATTAGGGGAATAGATTCAAATATGGATGTGAAAGTCTCAGGAAGCTTTCCTTTATCATTAAAGGAAGCCTAGCGCACCCTGTAAGAAACAAATTGCTCACAACTCCTTAGCTTAAGAGTGCTAACAGTAGGGATAGATATAAAAACTTTATGTAAGCCTAACTTTATAATAGTATTAATAACATGAATCTTACAGCAATTAGTAAGAATCAACTGGCTTTTGTATTTTTTTAAAATTACGACAGTGGGAAAATATAACAGGAGCAACAGAATTTGATAGAGATAGCAAATGAATAGAATGAACAACAGAATTCAAGCAGTCCTTAGAGATAAGTAAGTCTGGGACATCTCTGAAGGAATACAGCCAGTAACTTTAGAATGCGAATTAATAGAATGGATGGAAAGATCCCAAGGCCTGGTGATGACAATATCTGTTAAACATCATGAGATCACGGGGAACCTAGGCCTGCTCATAGAAGTATCTATCATCGATTAGGTTTTCCACAGGACTGGATATATAAAATATTGGGAAGGGCACAGTGACCACGTTGTATGTGATTATTGTAACAGAAAATGTATAAACATACTGTATCCCACTGTGAAAAGCAGAATGTCATCGACCTCTCTTCCGATCTGAGCTAAAGATTGAGGGGATAACTGTGTCTTCACATCAAGGCCAGACTGGGCAAGAGTCTGTGGCCCTTTCCCTCCAATGATCTGGTGACTGCTTGAATAAAAACTGCCACATGCCTGAATTCTGCCTGCCTCCTGAGTCTTTGTCCTTGGTCAGGTGTTTCGCTTCTACACCAAGGGATAAAAATTGCTCAGGATACCAGGGAGAAATTAAGTGTTATACAGTCAAAGTCATACAGCACAGAAACAGACCCTTTGGTCCAACCAGTCCATGCCGAACATAATCCCAAAGTAAACTAGTCCCACCTGCCTGCTCCTGGCTCTTTTTTTTCAAACCATTTTTGGAATCTTTTATGATGAGACCAAGGTTATAAAGGTTTACAGCATGGAAACAGGCCCTTCAGCCCAGTTTGTCCATGCCACCCAGTTTGATGGTTTGATGTCTTATCTGACATTGCAGCTCATCCTCAGTAGCCAAGCTAAAATGAAAACTGTTGCTCTTAATTTTGGACTTGCTAAAATATTCATTTAACCTTCATTTATCTTCTAAGATAGCAAGAACTGCCGATGCTGGGGTCAGAGACAACGCAGTGTGGAGCTGGAGGAACGCAGCAGGCCAGGCCAGCACCAGAGGGTATCAGAGGGTTATCTTCTCACATCTGTTTGATTTCACATGAATAGGAAGGTGCTTTAAAGTTGCTCGGTCCCGTTCAGATCTGACACGACAGCATGAGTTAGTTCTTGGAGCCGAATATGGAAGGCAGTTCATATTTCTGTCTGTGCTCTGACTATAGTTTTCATTCAACAGATACGAGGTCAACTCTGACAACACAATAAAGATACATTACAGCACTCTTGATGATGCAGGCCGCTACACCTGCCTAGCAGAGAACCTGGTGGGTTCAGCCACTGTGTCCGTCTCCCTCTTTGTGCAAGGTAGGCTTTACGTTTGAAATGATTGACTTGTAGCCAATAAGGAGGCTCGGTAAAAGCCTGAAACCACATTCCGCCAAAGATGCTGGTGGAAAAATGACATGAAGCTTTAAAGTTTAGTGTGCTAAAAAATAATCTGAATAATGAGGTAAGAGTGATTGTCACATAAGCAACCTCATAAAAGAGTAGGGAGAGGAGTTTAAAGATCCTTAGCTGCCATGTTAGTTTTGTACAGCTATTCGCTAAAAAATGCATAACAATATTTGACAAGAATTATTAAATCCTTACAATACTGAAACCATGAAATTTGATCCATGTGCTTAGGCTGGTGGATTTAAATAGGTTAAGGAAGAGTAGGAGAAGGTATAAGTTCTGTCAGCATAGTACTAGATTAGAATGAAGGATTTCACGTTTCACAAAATGTAAGTAACCATTGGAATGAATTGCTGGTTCACGCTGTGAGTTCAGAATCGCTATAAATCTTAAAAAGGGAGCTAGACAGGTCTGTGGCTGGCATAACAGCTTGTGGAGATTTGCTAGACTATTTTTTTTAATCCATTCATGGAATGAGGGTGTTGCTGGCTAGGCCAGCATTTATTGCCCATCCCTAATTGCCCAAAGGGCAGTTAAGAAGCAACCACATTGCTGTGGGACTGGAGTGACATGTAGGCCAGGTAAGGATGGCAGTTTCTTTCCCTAAAGGACATTAGTGAACCAGATGGGTTTTACCTGACAACCGGCAATGGATTCATGATCATCATTAAACTCTTAATTCCAGATTCTTTTTTATTAAATTCAATTCTACCATCTGCCGTGGTGAGGTTCGAACCCAAGTCCCCAGAACATGACCTGGGTTTCTGGATTAACAGTCCAGCAATAGTACCACGAGGGCATCACCTCTCCCTATTGGGAGATGGTTTTCTTGAACTTGTGTGCTTGCTTTCAGAGATTGAAGAGGATGTTTTGAATTCTCCTTCCCTTAAATTATTTTTTTTCTTCACCTTTTGTCTCTCAGAAAGACTCATGGCTGGTTTTTTGAGGAGTCACAGTGCACCAAGGTGACAGGAAACAGACTTGATGGACCAATTAGACCTTTCTTATCCTCTATTCTGTATGTTTAAAATGGACCAAGTTCAATAAAGAAACATTAAATCCAAACAGTCAATATTGAAAATACCCATCAGTATTGGAAAGGAAAGATATTATTACACCTGCAGTAGATCCCACATTGCCCCAACTAGTTCATGATTTGAGTTTTTATTACCTTTCAGATGCTGTTGATTCAGGTCAGAGAGACGAGGAGAAAGACACTCATCGGGAGCTGTTGGATGTTAGGATTTACCTTGACAACGTGACTGTCCTTCCATCATCTGCACATGTCTATATCCACTGGAAGGTGGGTGTTTGGTTTCTATGCCTAACTTTTAAGAAGTTACTATTTTACTCTGTATCTGATTGCTACTAGGCTCATTCCATATCTAGTGCACTGTAAGTCTGTAGTGAAGGGACTAAGGTATGGTAGCCAAATTTAGTAAGGATCCCATGATAAGATGGAAAGTAAGTTGTCAAAAGGAGGTTACAAAAAGACACAGATAGGTTAAGTGAGTGGATAAAAATGTGACAAATGGAGTATAATGTAGGAGTTGTCCACTTTGGCAGGAAGAATAATAAAGAAGTATATTATCTAAATGGTGAGAAATTGCAAAGTTCTGAGATGCAGAGGGATCTGAGTATTCTGGTGCATTAATTGCAAAAGATTAGTGTGCGGGTACAACAAGTAATTAGGAAAACAAATAGAACATTATCATTTGTCAAGAGAGGAATTTAATACAAATGTACAGATGTTATGCTTTAATTGACGACAGTTATAGCCATCTTCAGGGGAGGCAAAGGTGCCATGTTGTTATTACTACACTGTTAATTCAGAGATCCAGATAATGTGCAGGGGACCTGGGTTTGAATCCTGCCATGGTAGGTAGTAGAATTTGAATTTAACAAAAAGAAAATAATCTAGAGTTAGGAGTCTAATGTTGACCATGAACCAATGTCAATTATTGGCAAAAAATATCTGATTCACTAAAAACTTTCAGGGAAGGAAACTGGTGTCCTTACCTGGTCTGGCTTGCACTTAACGTGACTCCAGACTCGCAGTAATGTATTTGACTCTTAACTGCTCTCTGATATGGCCTAGCAAGCTACTCAGGTGGAATAATCACAAGAAAGCCTGGACTACATGACATTGACTAAGGTTACAATCAGATTGGCCATGGTCTTATTGATTGGTGGAGCGAGCTGAATGACCTACTTCTGTTACTAATTTGTATGTCCATGATGCAGTCCCTGAGAGTGTGGTGCAGGGAGGTTCAATCATGTTCGTCAGCTGGGAATTAGACAGTTACATGAAAAGGAAGAATGCGCAGTGTTCTGTGGAGAAGGGAGGAGAATGGTTCTAGCTGAATTGCTCACTTTGAGAGTTCGTGCACACGTGATGGGCCAAATGGTCTCCTTTAGTGCTGCAACAGTTCTATAATTCTGTATTTCCTGAAGTGCTTTCTTATTTGGAAATCAGTGAAAATTTTGGAGTTCCCTAAATTTGAAGATTAGATCAGTAGTTAATCAACTCCCCAAGGAGATTAAGTAAATGAGAATAATTCAATGGGATTGTACATTTATATTGACACAGCAAGCATTTGAGTGAACTTACGTAAAAGAGACTCTTCTACTCCTCATTGTAAAGCAAATCATGAAGACATTACCTGCTTCAGGATCTTAACCCTACATTTAGTTTATGGTGTAGTTAAATTATATATACCTCAAGGGAGCTTTAATCTTCATCAAACCCAATATCAAACATATTCATTATTCATTATACTGCTGGCATGGAGCCTCACATTGTACTCAGGATTGCACATTGGGATATCTTGGGACATGACCAAAGTAGACTGAGAGTTGCTACTTCTGGGAATATTGGAAGCAGAACAGTGGGGAGTGTTCAGAACAGAATCAGGAGGAGTACTGATTCAACATGTTCCCTTTGCTGTGAAATGTAGGAGCAGTAAGCCCAGAGAACCCTGGATGTGTAGGAAAATTCAGAACTGGATGAAATGGAAAAGAGAAGCATATAACATGTACAAAGGGAGCAAATCAACAAGGCCATAGTGGAGTATAGAATGTTGAGGGGACACAAATAGGAGAGGAAAGAGAGAGCATGTAAAAGCACCAGCGGGCAAAATTAAGGAGAGTCCAAGATATCCTACAAGTACATCGAGGAGAAGAGAATAACAAAGGAAAGGGACCAAGAGGAAAATCTGTGTGTGGACCTTGGTAAAGTTAGACCGAATCATAGAATCCCCTACAGTGTAGAAACTGGCCATTCAGCCCATCAAGTCCGCACCACCTTTCGAAAGAGCATCCCACCTAGACCCACCGTCCGCCATCTGATCCCTGTAGCCCTGCATTTCCATGACTAATCTACCTAGCCTACACATTCCCTGGCCACTATGGGCAAGTTACCATGGCCAATCCACCTAACCCTACACATCTTTGGATTGTGGGAGGAAACCGGAGCATCCTGCAGAAGCCCACACAGACAGGGGGAGAATGTGAAAACTCCACACAGACATTCACCTGAGGTTGGGATCACACCTGGGTCCCTGGTGTGTGAGGCAGCAGTGCTAACCACTGAGCCACCATGCCGTCCAAGTGTTAAGTGAGTACTACACATCTGTCTTCACTTGGGAGAAGGAGAACGTAGGCACAGAATTTGGAAATATGGATGGTGAGGTCCTCGAGCAGATTGGTATCGGGAGTCATAGGAACATAAGAACATAAGAACTAGGAGCAGGAGTAGGCCGTCTGGCCCTTCGAGCCTGCTCCGCCATTCAATAAGATCATGGCTGATCTTTTCATGGACTCAGATCCACTTACCCATGTTCTCACCGTATCCTTTAATTCCTTTATTGTTAAAAAAAATCTACCTTTTTTTAAAAAACGTTTACTGAAGTAGCGTCAACTACTTCACTGGGCAAGGAATTCCATAGATTAACAACTCTCTGGGTGAAGAAATTCCTTCTCAATTCAGTCCTAAATCTGCTCCCTCTAATCTTGAGGCTATGAGTCAGGGGGTATTGAAGGTTTCCATGAGCTTAAAAGTAGACAGGTCCCCAACTCTGGATGAGTTGTATCCAAGGTTGCTATGGGAGATGAGGGAGAAAATCACTGGGGCCCTGACTCAAATATTTAATTCTTCTCTTGCCACAAGGAAGATGCCAGAAGACTGGAGGACAATTAATGTGCTTCCACTGTTCAAGAAAGGCGCTAGAGACAAATGAGGGAATTGCAGGCCAGTGAGTCTCACATCAGCATTAGGGAAAAAGTTGGAAAAAATTCTGAAGGAGAAAATCAGTCTCCGTTTGGAGAGACAAGATTTGATGAGGAATAGTCAGCATGGCTTTGTCAGAGGGAGGTTATGGCTAGCAAATCTGTTTGAACTTTTTAAGGAGGAGACCACGTGTGCAGATGAGGGTAGGGCAGTGGATGTATTTTGCATGGATTTCAGCAAGGTCTTTGACAAGGTCCCACATGGGTGACTGATAAAAAAGGTAAAAGCCCATGAGATCCAGGGTAACAACAAATTAGATTGAAAATTGACTTAGTGGCAGTAGACAGATGGTGTTGGTAGAAGGCTGTTTGTGAGACTGGAGCCCATTGTGCAGTGCGGTAGCACAGGGATCAGAGCTGGGTCCCTTATTATTCATGATGTATATAGATGATGTAGATAAGAATCTAGAGGGGATGACAAGCAAGCTTGCAGGTGATACAAAGATTGACCGGGTGGTTGACAGTGAGGATGAAGGTCTAAAGCATAAAAATATATAAATGGAGGATATAAATGGATTGTTCAGGTGGGCAAATCACTGGCAGATGGTCTTTAACCCAGATAAGTATAAGGTAATGCACTTTGGAAGAAGTAACAAGACAAGGGAGTACTCAATGAAAAGTAAAACACTAGTAGGCTCAGCAGAACAGAGAGATCTTTGGAATGCTTATCCACAGATACATGCAGATGGCTGGACAAGTTAATAGCATAGTTAGGAAGCCATATGGGATTCTTGTCTTTATCAGTTGAGGCATAGGTATAAGAGGAGGCAGATTATGTTGGAGCTGTACAGAACTTTGGTTGGGCCAAAGCTGGAGTACTGTGCAGTTCTGGTCATTGCACTACAGGAAGAATGTGGTTGCTCTGGGGTGCAAAGGAGATTTACCAGATGTTGACTGGGATGGGCCATTTTAGCTGTGAAGAGAGCCTGAATAGGCTCAGGTTGTTTTGTATGGAGCAGAGAAGGTTGAGCGGACCCCTGATTGAGGAGTGTAATATTATGAAGAGCATGAACAGGGTGGAGAGAAAACTGCAAGGTAACCATGAGATGGTAACCAGGACATGGAAGTTGTTGGATATTGATGGGAATTTTATCCATCATACTACTTTCATAAGATCAATTTTGCCTTGGTAATCCCAGCCATTCCATGTGAATTTTCTCTTTGAGGCCATGTATTTAAGCCTAATGGTCAAAACGGGGTTTACCAAACTACACAAAACTCATTCCATTTTCTCTTCTCTCTGGCTTTGACAGGTTATTTCCCCATCTCAAAACATCGAGGGATTTATAGTTTCCTTTCGCTCTTTGCTGCCCTTGCCTGTGGAATGGATGGAGCAGCAGGTTACCCATCCCCTCGAGAGGAGCACGGTGCTGACTTCCCTGAAGAGGGGCTACGTGTATGAGTTCAAGGTTCAGGCGTACAGTGGTAGTTTCCGCAGTCCAGACAGCAACATGGAGCATGGAAAGGTTCCCGAGGAAGGTGAGATTTCTACCTACAATGGGTAATAATTGTTAGGAGAGATGGGGGCTAGGCTGTTCATGTCTAGAACATACATACTTGAAATATAGGCCAGAGAGTTTTGTGGCCTCTCTCCAGTACTCTCCTGCTGTAATAGTGTGGTTCAGTTGATAACACGCTTGATTCTGAGTCAGAAGGTTGTGTTAAAATCCCATTCAAACACTTGTATGAAGAGTCTAAGCAGATGCTTCAGTGCAGGACTGGATGAATTCAACATTGTTAAAGGTACCTTTCTCAGATATGAAGTTAGCCCAGTGGTGGAATTCTCTCCTTTTTGTGACTAAGTGCTGGGTAGGCCTATAAAGTGCATAACTCACCCAATGACATGCTGATCGCCTCACTGAAAGCTGACTGGTGAGTGGCAGCAAGTTTCTCAGCCTATCACAGATTTTAACACTGATGTCTTATGTCACTTCTGATTGGCTGACAGGCTCTGTGTCATAACCATCAGTCGAGGCCTAGTCCTCAGTCTAGTGGCATGAAGGTAAGTTATTTTTATCTTTTTGTTGTGAGTTTGGGTTTGTGGGGCAAGGGTTTTGGGGGGAGGTGGACAAAGACATCAACATAGCTTCCAGACATCATCTCCTATCTCCCCATTCATGCCTGTATTCTGATCAGGGCAAATGGAGCTCCACCTCCCTACCCAACAACTCCAGTAGGTCACTCCAGTTTTTCAGCTGGGAAACTAGCCAACTTTCTTGCCTGTTGGGGAGGCAGAGGATTAGGGAGGTGGTGAGATGAGGCACTAAAATGTACTCTAATTGACCAGCTAAGCATCTTATTTGGTGGCCGGTTGAGAAAGCCCTCTCAGCGATCTGCTTACCCGAAACATAATTGTGCTACAGCGAAAAGGGGAAGGGTATCTGGCCAGGCCAAATTACCCAATTATTTCCCATTCACACCACCTCCAGGAAGGAGAAGGTCCACCTCATAGCCCATTGTCCACCTTTGCTTGACTTGCTTGCTTTTCAGTGGACCTCCCAAAGTGCCATACAGCCAAATGAAGTAGTCTTTGCAACCATAATCTAATACACTCAACTAATTCACATTCAGCCAATTCTGACAAGTGACAATGGGATAACAACCAATTCTTCTTTTCATGTTGGTTGTGAGTTAAGTATTGGCCAGGATGCTGGGGTAAATCTGTTCTTCTCTGAAATAATGCAATGGGATCATGTATATCCACCCAAGTAGACAAATGGTGCTTTGGTTTAATTCAACAACTGAAAGACAGAACCTCCAATGGTGTAATGCTTCCTCCGTGCTGCACTCCATCAGCCAAGATTTTTGTGTTCATGCCCTGTAGTGAGACTTCAATCCAGAACCTTATAACTGAGAGAAAACCATGCCATCAATAGAGTTACTTCCAACTCTCTTTAAACAGCTCTTGGCATTTTGCAAAGTAGAAAATAGTATTTCACCCTCAACCAACATCACAAAATTAGATTATCTGATTGTCAACACATTGCACTTGAATTTTCATTGTGCAAGTTAATGCAAGTTCTTTCTTTCTTTGTGTCTGCCTTTCTATTCATGTTCTAGGATGTCACTAGAGTTGTCATTTCAGTGTTTCATTTTACATATCTTGTATCTGCTAAGACTCCTTTTGGAGAGTTGTCCCAATATCAGTAGTATAAGTGACAATCAAAGGTACAGGAGGTATAACTGAAGCAGCTACAGCCTGGGAATTCTGCTGCAATTAACTCATTTCCTGACTCCCCACTGACTACCATCTATACAGCACAATTCAGGAGTGTAATGGAATATTCTCACTTTCCTGAGTGAGTCCAGCTTCAACAACACTCCAGGAGCTCAATGCCATTCAGAACAAAGCAACCTGGTTGTTTGCTAGCTCATCCTCCACTGCGAACATTCAATTCCTCCACCACTGATGTACAGTGGCAGAAGTATGTAGCACCTATAAGTTCCCTGCAACGTTCCTTCAATTGTCTTTCATCAGTACTTTCCATGCCTACACCATCTACCACCTTGGTAGACAAAGGTAGCAGATGGGAACACCACCGCCCTTGTAAACCACACAACATCCTGACTGTCACTGGGTCAACATCCTGGAACTTTCTTCCTAACAGCACTATTTCGGTGCTTAGACCACTTTGACTACAGCAATTCAAGAAGGCAGCTCATCATCTTCTTCAGGAGAACAAAAGCGGCTCTAGCCAGTAATACCAGAATCTCATGAAAGAATTTTTAAAAAGCAGAAATATCAGTTCTAGATGATTTGTTCTCTTTTCCTGTGGGCTGATTTTTTAGCATGCTTATGGTGATAGATACAGGAGCTCAGCATTTGGGAATTCCAGGTGCAGACCCACATTGAATGTCAATATTTTGGATCTTTCCTGAGGGTAATCCTCATGCATTATATTTTTAAAAGTGATTCATTCTTGAGAATCTATCTTTCACTGTCAGGTTGGAAATTTCTTGCTCATATGTGAGGACTTGCTATTTGCTGTTAACCTGTTGTCTCCCGTGCTTTACGTTTAGTGCCGGATGCTGCTCCCCATAGTGTGATTGTAGCAACGACAGAAAGTAGGAATGGCAGCATTGTGATCAGCTGGGAACCCCCTCCTCCCGAGTCACACAACGGCATCATTAAAGGTTACAAGGTACGATTACAAACTGATGAGGAATGGAACGTGTACAATGTATCTGGGCCAATTCAGGGCCCTGAAAATGTCTAATCAGTTCCACTATGAGGAATAAAATTCAATTAAGAAATCTGGAATTTGAGAAAAAGTTAGCATCATCGTCAGTGTGAAGTAATGGGTTAACAGCATGAGCCTAAGAGGTCAGGATGGAAACATGATGGAAGATGACATGAGTGAGGCAGAGCTGGACAGAGATCTCACAGGGGAGAAACTCTGAGCAGTAAAGAGTTAGTCTGTAAGTAAAAGGCTATTGTTAAAATATACATAAACTACTGCAAAGACATTTAAGGGACAATGAGACCCTGAGAACCCAAACCAGAAGACAAAACAATGAGATTATCAATATTAATAGGTTATTAAAGGAGTGGCAATCTTTGGTTTGGTTACAAATATAAATTTGTTATTTTAATAATGTACTACTCACCCGAGGTGATTTAAAATCTTTAAATAGTTTTCATGAATGTGTTTTCTTTCAAGTGTGTAAGCTCTCTTTCATCATTAGAGTCTTAATTACTTTTCTTCTCCATGTGGCCCCTGAGATTTCCTCATAGTGCATATTGGGTGAGTGTCTGTATAGATGGTATGGAGTGACTGGATGGTATCAGGTGGCATGGGCATATGAGGTAGAATGGGAAGTGGACGGGAATAAGGAGTGAAGGTTAGAAAGCCTTTTATATAACTGACGTCTGAGAGAACTGATATGGCCTTCGAGAATGAGGAGAAATTTCTTCACCCACAGAGAGAGGAGCTTGTGAAATTAAAAACCGAAGGAACTGCGGATGCTGTAAATTAGGAACAAAAACAAAGTTGCTGGAAAAACTCAGCAGGTCTGGCAGCATTTGAGTTCTGAGGAAGGGTCACCGGACCCGAAATGTTAACTCAGTTTTTTTTCCTTCACAGATGCTGCCAGACCTGCTGAGCTTTTCCAGCAACTTTGTTTTTGTTGAGCTTGTGAAATTCTCTGCTACAGAAAGCGGTTGAGGCCAAAACATTGAATGCTTTGAAAAAGTAGATAAATATACTTCTTCGGGCTAAAGGTATCAAAGGATATGGGAGAAAGCAGGAACAGGATACTGAGTTGGATGATCAGCCATGATCAGATTGAATGGTGGAGCAGGTTTGAAGGGCCAAATGGCCTACTCCTGCTCCTAGTTTCTGTGCTTCTGTATTTAAAGCTGGCTGAATTGACACTCACTATCCTTTGTGACTGCCTCTGGTGTCGGCAGACCTGACATGATCACCACCACCCTACCCTACCTCAGAACAAATATTGCATGAAACAAGGCTAATTATGCTGAGGATGGTGAGAGAGGGGCAGCAACAACAGGTTCATGACTTCCTGATCCAGCCTGTATGGTGGTTCACAGTGATGGGGTCAATAGCACCGACTTCCTGATTCAGGAAGGATTTGCAGGAGCTATAATGTATCTCCCACCACCTACTGTGCCAATGTTACCAGGACTTGGTGAGAACAAAGGAAGAATTTGTAGTAGACAGACCCAGGACTCGTGCGTTCCCAGTAGTCCCTGAGTAACATAGGTCATATTCATGCAATCTTTAAATAGTTGCAATAATTCAATAAACTTCATATTGTTTAAAAGCACAAGACTCTTCTAGTTAGACCAGAAAGATCGATATCCTAGTCCACATTAGATCACGTTGGGCCTGAGGGAATCCACACACAACAAGTTACCATATCTTTAAAGTACACTATCAAAGATCCAGTCCTATCTTTACAACATGTCAGTGAAAGAATCAGTGAAGCAAATATTATTTATGTTAATCCATAATAATCTTATCTGACATCTCACCGAGACACCAAATCTTCTCACAATTCCAGAAGCAAAATACAGTGGGTGCTGGGAATAAGGGCAGAAACAGAAAACACTGGAAATATTCAGCAAGTCTTATAGATCTGTGGAAAGAGTAACAGAGTTAATGTTTCAGTTTGCAACCTTTTCATTTGGGTTCTGATTAATTAGATTATCTCTGCACAGATGCTATCAGACATCCAGACTGTTTCTAGCAATTTCTGTTTTGAACACAGCTCGTGTCACAACGTATAACCGTCATTTCATAGCAGTTCCTATCCTTAGCTGGACATTTTGCAAACGTTTATTGTTTACTTTATATTTCGGGACATACCCTCTTAGATTTTGTGTAACAATTCACAAACTAAAGTGTATAATTACACACACATTTCTATTTTAAATTAAGATGGGTTTTCATAGTTGAATAAACATGAAAAATTGGAACTGTAATACAGATCAATGGTCTTTTGCAGACAATAAGATCGGGCCTGGAACTGTTATTAAGAATAGAAAGAAGAAATCGTATTCCATCCAATTATAAGTGGATGCAGCATTATCTAGTCAGTTCTTCAGCAGAAAATTACAGATCTTTGTCATGTAGTTTTTAACGTGCTGTGTATATTTTAGGGAAGAGTTCATCTTCTGTTCTTGTACAATGGACCTTGACTTAGTAATGGTGTCTGGTTTAATGCTGTCATAGATCATTCCCCAGAAACACAACAGCTAAAGGCTCCTCACAGTGCAGTCTCCTCTCACATTGCAGAGACAAAATGCAGTCTAGACGACCGCTTTCCTATGTAGTGTCTGTAAAAAATAACTCTGAGTTCCCATTTTCCTGCCACTTCAACACAGTGTTCCTCAACCAACATCTCTGTCTCAGGCCTACTGCAGTCGTCCAGTGCAGCTCATGTTACAGCCTTCAGGACTCCATGTTGGCTTTAACAATTTTAGAGCAAGAGCACACCCTTCCTTGTTTATGACCTACCCACTACCTTAGGTTTTGTCATGAAATAACTTGTTTTCATCATAGCCAACCCATTTGCACCTACTCATCATCATAGAATCCCTACAGTGTGGAAACAGGCCCTTTGGCTCAACAACCCCACACTGACCCTCAGAGCATCCCACCCAGACCCATGCCCCTAATCTACAAATCCCTGAACACTATGGGCAATTTAGCATGGCCAATCCACCTAGCCTGCATACCTTTGGATTGTGGGAGGAAACAGGAACACCCGGAGGAAACCCGCGCAGTCACGGGCAAAACATGCAAACTCCACACAGACAGTCGCCCAAGGATGGAATTGAACTCTGGTCCCTGGTGTGGTGAGGCAGCAGTGCTAACCACTGAGCCACCGTGCTAACCCACTGGCCCCATTATTACCTATATAGTTTCTCTTCTTCCCCGGCTAAATGTAAACGATCCATTTGTCTGCCGACCCTTTTTCTCTCTCTCTCGTCCTGCTATCCACGTCTTGGCTCACTCCTTTTCCCCCCATTCCCCATCATCAGTTTAAATACTATCTTTTCCGAGACACTTCTGGTTATGGAAAAAGGTCGCAGGATTTGAAATGTTAACTCTGTTTTCTCTCCGTAGGTGCTACCAGACCAATTGAGCAATTCTCCAGCAATTTCTGTTTTTGTTGTTTCAGATCTCTAGCATCTGCTATTCTTTATTATATTTCAGCTTAAAAGCTTGTTGGAAAATGGTACATAGACTAAAATATGACAATGACAGTGGCAAACTGGTTTCCCCACCGCTAGTCCCGCACAACAGAATACTGTGTGTATCACAAAAATATACAAAAACCACACCACTTCCGTAGAAACCGACTGACCTAATGTTCTGTGAGGCATAAGTTACTTGTGAGAGATTCCCGTCTAGTTCCAAGTGCTGGAAAATATCAGCTTTGAAGTTGAGTGCTGAAGATTGCTGGGCCTTTGTCATCTAGCATGAACCCTGCTGAATAACTGTCATGATGCCATCATGACTTTGTCAACACAATGCTTGATGCCTTGTTTTGGATGTTGCCAGGGTTGGAGGGATTGAGCTGTAGGGAGAGGCTGAATAGGCTAGGGCTATTTTCCCTGGAACGTCGGAGGCTGAGGGGTGACCTTATAGAGATTTATAAAATCATGAGGGCATGGATAGGGTAAATAGTCAAGGTTATTTTGCCAGGGTAGGGGAGTCCAAAACTGGAGGCCATGGGTTTAAGTTGAAAGAGGAAAGATTTAAAAGGGAGTCAAGAGGCAACTTTCTCACACAGACGGTGGTGTGTAGATGGAATGAGCTGCCAGAGGAAGTGATGGAGCATGGTACAATTGCAGCATTTAAAAGGCATCTGGATGGGTATATGAAAAGGAAGGGTTTAGAGGGATATATGCCAAATGCTGGCAACTGGGACTAGATTAATTTGGGATATTTGGTCGACATGGCTGAGTTGGATCGAGGGGTCTGTTTCTGTGCTGTACATCTCTGTGACTTGATGACTCATTGAATATTGTACCGTGAGAAGACAACATTCAAAGAAACCAAAGTGACAAAACCAAAATAAAATGAGCTGAAATTATAAATAAGGGCCAAAACCAATGTTGCTGAACATTCCTGGGGCTCAAAAGCATCATGACGACCAATAATAAATTAGTGATATCAAGCTTGAGGTACCTTAATCCAGCATTCTGAACTCCTGTGAAGCAAAGAACTACACTATAAATCTTTATTTCAGCACAATGAGCAAGATGATTACCATTGAACAGACCTGTCTTCCATGGCAAGTGTCAGCCAATCCCTTATTGTTTTCACGCCAAGCGAATGCTGGTACTAGGCCCTCATACTTAACAAGCAGATACTTCAGTGACTGAATTTCAGTTGAATATTTCCAGAACTCTTTGGGGATGAGGGCGAAGGCTTGATGCAGCACCTTTATTAATCAACTGAGGAGATGTGCATTGATTGTCAAGTAAACAAAAATCCCAGAACTGCACTGTAGCACAATCTTCATCTGCAGGGAGTTATCTTGAAATCTGGTGAATACTTGTTAGGAATTCTGCCTTGTTGTCGTCTTCTGGAGGTGTCAAGTCCATTTGTAGTATCATTTCTATTGCCTAGCTCACTCAGCTCAGTCCAGGGACCTTCCCTCCTGATTT